GCACAAGTGGGGTGTGAGCCTCGGCTTAGCTAAACAAGGCTGTTTGCTAGGGCCGTGTTTGTGGATATAGTGAAACGGGGATGCCCGCGTTTTCGAACCATGTTCCAAGCATAGCAGGACACTTGCTGACATCCACGAGTTTCGTCGACTCGTTCTACATGCCATTGCTGACGGTCGCATCAAGCCCACCGACCGAGATCCGTTTGATGCTTGGGATGTTGTCACAGGCCCGTCGATGTACACTGTCACCGAGCAGTACATCAGGACTGTGACGAAGAAAGCCGGCAATGTCAGTTGGGCACTCATGAAGCATCCGGCTGGCATAGAGTGCGATCTCTTTATCACGCATGCATGGTCGGAAGGAATATTCGAGTTTGTGGACAAAGTCACCAACTCCTGGCCAAGTGGCGCACAGTCTGCGTACGTCTGCTTTCTGTCCAACCCACAAAACTTGGACATTGGGGGCCTGATCACGTCTCCGTCCGAGTCTCCCTTTGCCAAAGCTCTGGCGTCGTCAAGGCAGATGTTGGTCGTGCCAAACCAGAGGCTCAGCATTTACACGAGAATCTTGCTTGCCTTATCTTGCCTTGCCGGCACTTCAGTGCTTTGTGTAGTTCCGTTGGGGTCGAGCGGTTTTCGATTTTTCTAAATTCCTTGTACTACTGCAACAGGCCGTCCAGCACAAGTGATCATATTATATTATGTACTTACATACTAGGTACCGTACTGCTTATAGCCCGCTAATCCGTTACAATCCACACCATCCAGACACGAATGCTCATACCAGGGATTGCCCAGAATCCTTCTACTGTTAATCCAAGGGCGAACAACCATGCAATGCTAAGTTTTATTTCAACTCGCTTGGCTGCTACACCAAAGCACATGATTATGCTGTATACTCCGTGCCACCTATAAACCGTTGGTCCCATGACACCCACAACATCCAAACATGAATAACCATACTAAGCATTTCGTACAATCCTTTCACTATCCTTCCTCGACTAACCATGCTAAGTATTTCGTTAAATCCTTGTACTACTACACCAAGCAATCCAAGCACAAATCATCATACGAAGTATTACCTGTAATCCCTGTACTCCTATGCAACCCACACGACTAGTATACTAACTACTGCCTATAATCCGTTTTGCTATTGCACCTTACCGTCGATGGTTGCTACAATCACTTTGAAATACAATCAAGCAATCTGCGGTTGGACCTCTCAGATAATTGCCATCATGATACGTATCCTCACCTTATGAACTTATGTCACTACCTCAGAATGTTATTGATGTCATGTGAACTTCCGTCTAAATGATGGAAAGCCGTCATGAGAATGCAACGTTAAAGCCGCATATCAATTAATTCATGGGGTAGCTCGTCTCTTTTAGTGCTAAGTTTTTGATTGCTAGACTATATACTCATTTGGTATCTAAGTATCCTTGTTTTCGCGTACTCTGAGAAGTCTTAAACATAAAATCCGTTGGTACAGTGGGAACTACAGTCTTCATTTCGAAACCCCGCACTCCTGCATGAGATTCTGTATTTTGTTTTTTGTGTGTATTTTGTGTCTGTGTTTTCGGTTCACAGGCTTCCAAAATCTTGTGAAGCCCAAGTTAACTCAAGATAAGCAAGGAATTTGTAATTCAGGGTCTGTGTCTGAAGCCGAGTTCCATATTTCACAAGCTAGATCGTCTTTCAAACGGAGTGTCTGGTTTTAACTACTAAACTGTTCAGGTGCAGCGCCTTCGACCAAACGTAAAGGGGTCTGGCCCGGACACTAAGCTACCTCTCCCTTCCATGAGTTGGAGTTCAGAGGTCAGATTAGAGCTCATGGTTTGGGATCTGTCAATGGAGAGCGCCCTGCAAACAGAACGGAACATAAGAAATCCAGAAAAGTTGACAAACAACAATCCTCGCTTGAGGCCAAAGTCTTGCCATTGTGTACCGCCAAGGAATCTGGTGCGTCTACGAAGCATTCTTGGCCTACCGTTTGGAGAAGCCCATTCGTACTGCAATGGCACCGGTTCCACACTTCTGGCCCCGAGTGATGCGCAACCTCTGTGCCGGATGTGCATTTCACGGGCTTGGCTTCTTGCTAGTCGGCCAGTTGCCTCCAGACTTGGAAGATCAAACACGGATTGTCGAACTAGTTTCCCAAGCGGCAGGACTTGTTTGCCTCTTCGTCCTCGTCTTCCTGTACAAGACGAACAGGCATGACCGAAAGATACTCCAAGTGGCCATCTATGTTTGTGGCGCCTTGTGTGCCCTCTACCGAATCACACTGTGCTATCGGAAAGGGTTCAAGAGGTCGAACAACATGGTCTTTATGACCGTGGCAGTGTGTCTCATGGCTGGCTTAGAGATGGATCGTCTCTTGGCGATGGGTGGAAACAAGCAGATGGCACAGCTGAAGGCCGGCTTCAAAGGCATCCAGGCGGCCAACAGTGCGAACGCATCGGATGCGAAGCGCATCCAACAGGACACTATCCCAGGGCTGCGCGCTCATGACGATGGATGCATGCAAAGTGAGCCCTTCCGCTTTGGAAAGCCCCGATCTTGTAGGCTTCTTTCAGGGATGTGATAGGGCGCATGTCAGGCACGATTGCACGCGAGAACCACATTTGCTGATATGCGTTATGTACGCTTGTCAGGAGATCAAAGACCAAGGACAACAAGACATGGTGAATCATGCCGTGCAAGTCCTGCTGGACATGAACCTCTTCTCCAAGGACCTTCAAGAGATCACCAACCACACCGGGCCACTTGGGGATATTTCAACTTGGAGCCGCAGTATTCTGGCTGTGAGTTTGATGTGGTGGGTGACAAACACAAATCAAATTTGGATTGGCCGGATCCTGCAACATGATGACAAAGAAATGGCACACTGGCTTCGCTGGGTGGTGTTTGTGGGAGCTGCGTTGGAGGCGGTGAGCTTCTATCTGCTCTTTGTTTTCATGCCTGATCATCGCAAGGCTTTTGCAGAAAGGACTCAGGTGCTTCTTCTGCTTCCTGTCATCTTAACATACAGTGGCCTTTTCAGTGGTCCGAGCTACGAGACGTTCTATGTGCTTTTTGTGAACTCCGTGGTGGTTGGTCTCTCCGCTGCAGGCCCTGCGCGTGTTGCCGCCATTCCGCGCGTTGGAGCCCCAATCGTGCGGGCGCTCTTCGGCCGCAGTCCGTTCAAGGCAGCGAGCCTGAAGAGTGCGGGCAGTGGCGAGTCCGCGGAGTCCGGTGTCCCCTCTTCTGGGGATTCTGTGAGTGTGCAGGACCAGAGACCGGATGACGAAGAAGACCTCGTGGAAGTCTGATCTTGGCTCTCGTTTCAATCGTTCATAAGTGTATAAGTATCTTCCCGACGCTGGCAGCTAAGCTGCACCGCGTCACCTGCAGTTGGCCTCCGTGGATCATGGGCGTCGACATCATCAGCACCATCATTGTCGTCATCATCGTGACCAGTGCCGCATCGCCCGCAGTTGGCCTGCACGGATCATAGTCGTCGACATCATCACCGCCATCTTCGTTATTATCATCGTCATTCGTCGTCTGCAGTCGGCCTCCACGGATCATGGTCGCCGACAACATCACCATCCTCGCCATCATCACCGTTACTAGCGCTGCAGTCATCACCTGTGCCATCATAGATTTTTGTAGTCTCACCCGTTCAGATAACCTGAATTGCCACCGCTTACGAAATGACGAAGGATGCTGGGACTGGGTCTGAGTTTTCTGAAGCTCAGCGCAGAACTGCTCACCGTCGCGCCTGCGAACTCCGACTGAGCGGGGGAAGAACGACATCGCGCTGCTTCGGTCTCCAGAGGGTGTTTTGTTTCACTGACGTTGCCATGATCGCTGCACAATGCCTTTTTCTTGTGTGTTTTTTTGGGTCAATGGCATGGCCCTGATATCTGGCTCCGACGATTCAGCTACGGACGGTAGCCCCAGCATATCTTGACGGCCAATGGGATTGATTGATAACGTTGCTGCCGGGTTGCTCAGAGCAGCTTCAAGGCAGGTCCAGGTAGTTTCCTGATGTTTCTTTGTCTAAGGCAATCCATCCATGCCGACCGTGAAGGTGGAGCCGAAGGCGCGGTTTCTGCTTCGCAGGCGCCGCGATAATATGGACAGAGCAGTGCACTGCAGGTATGGTTTTCCACTGAGCGAACCTTTATTCACTGGGCCACTTGGAATCTTCACTCGGCTTCCGGGGTGGTTGGGAGCTGGACGGTGCTGAGCCTTGCCATGTGCAAGCCGTCGTGCGGGTGAGCAACATAAGGCCAAGCTGTCGACAGTCTTCGCGGCAACCGCTGCTGCAGCTCGATTGACCAAAGTTGACTGACAGTGTTGATGTCACCGTTTCTGAATTTGTGTGAAACTGCCGCTTGCCAGGTCATGATGGCCTCCTCCAGGTCTGCTGCGACAGATGTCTGCGGCCTCGTTGCCACTTGTCAGCTACAGCTTTCCATCCTTGCACCCTGAACCCGAATGTGCTGAAGCCCTAAACGCCCCAAAAGCACAAAACATCAAACGGTCCATCAATTCTCGAGGTTGGCTTCGCCTCTTTGGTGCTGCTCTTCCATGCGTGCATGAAGCAGTGGAAGAGGAATCGAATCTTCAAGTCCGGGGGCACCTCGGCTTTGGCACCCCGGGATACCGTGCTCTTTCCCTTCAACCGCTTTCTCGCTCTCTTCCTCAGCCTTTGCTCGAAGCGGCTCGCAAGGCAAGCAGTATGTCCGAGTGGAGGACCGATGGTCTACGTCACCGGAGACAGGACTCCTGAGAACTGAGAAGTATCGTCAGGAATTTGCCGATCGCTTTGGTGCGATACTTTTGGCCTGTTCCTTGACCACTGTCGTCTTCGGACTCGTCGCCTCCGGCTCAGCAGCTCAGAACATGTTGGAAGGCGCTCGGAAGTCAAATCTGCTTATCGCCAGGCGATCCCTGCTGTGGGCCTCTAACCCAGAGCTTCGAATTGGATCCTTTGATGCGTAGATAGCACGATGGAAATCGAAGGGGTCGCGACGAAAATCGGGCCGCTGCCGTCCCGTTTGAGTTTGTGGCTGGGATATCTTTGCAGTCAGCCAGATTGTTCGGATGATGCGCGTGTTGCAGCTTTTGCTTCGCTCGGCATGCAACAGCCACTAGAGCAGAACTTAGCGGCTACACATGCGAAGATCAGAAACGGCCTGCATGCTGTTCAAGAGTTAAGACGCACAGGGACTTTCGAGGAGGCTCCGACGTCCGCTTCGGCAGGGCCGCGCTTCACCATGGAGGCCCAAGATATGGGCAGCGCCGTCCAGGCGCATGCTCCACGCTCGGATCTGGGGGCTGGCACCGCGGCACCACTGAAGAAAAGCATGGTTTCGGCTGAGCCCCGAGGATATCGGCCCAGTGATGCCGGCACAGTCGTGTCCGAGCCTCATCGGCGCCCGTGGCAGTCCGGTCGACGCTGTGAAGCATGCTAGTGTGTTTTTTGGATGTTTCCCTTCCTGCAGGTCACGACCCCAAGGCACACAAGATGGCCACCGACTACATAGGCGCTCCGGCTGTTCCTGAATCTTCAAGTCTCGACGGTTGCTAGACCATCCTTGGATGCGCACACACTCACACACAGACACAGATGCTCGCTTGGAGCTTCTCGCCCCGCAGATGGAGAATGGAAGACCTTTTGGGACTTTGTGCCAGACAAGGTCTGCGGATGTTTGTGGTGTGCGTGGGTGAACTGGTAGCAAGAACCTCTCCAGGATGCAGTGAAGGGTCGGGTTTGAGCGTTTCAGCTGCATGCAGAGTCGTCGAGCATGTCTTACGGTCTTGGGGGGTCGTTGCGGCTGGTCAGGACGAGCCGTTCCTTTTCCCCACGGATGGCAGACGTCCATTGAGTTTCAGAGAGCTCAAGGCATGATGAGTGCAAGTCCGGAATGAACCAACTCAAATCCACAGTGGCAGGTGTTCATCGTTGATGAAACAAACGACATCCCAGGGATGGGTCGAGAGGAGTGGTGAGATTGCAGAGAGTATCCAACCGGTGTGAACGGAACTTCTCCTGGCAGGACCGCCTCTGTCTAGTTTTCCCGACGGGACCAGAGCTTGCAGTGGCCTACTGGTACTTGGCAGATTGCTCAGCATGTGCTCTCTGATGCTCAACTTCGTAGCCGACACCGTCGGAGGCCTTCGCAGTTCGCTGCACCGTCGCGCCGTTGAACCTGTATCTGCGGGCTGGGGACTGAAGCGAGACAGCGCTACCCAGGGCAGGGCTTTCGCAAGACTGCTCAGGCGGATGAGTTTGACTTCGAGTACGACGACTTGCCCTGTAAGGCAAAGGGCCGAAGCTCGGGGAAGATCCTGACCTCGAAATTCTTCTTTTCGTCCAGGGCCTGGTGGTTTAGAAAGCAGATGGCTTGGATGCCGAAGACAAAGCGGCGCTGCGCCAAGAAGCCCGCAGCCCGCAGTCCTAGCAAGCACGATTCCAGTCTCGTGCTGAGGCAACTACCGTAGCAGTGGCGCAGGCAGCTTCAGCACTGGCTCTGAACATGTCGGCCGTTTGCCAGATGTCGTTCTGAAGTGCCCCAACATGGTGCATGAACATAGACGCGATAGAGCTTCTTGAGCATGCAGAGTCCAAAGAGCTTTCGCTGAGCGGAGCGCATGGCCTAGAAGCGCTCAGGCCAGAGGCAGGCCTGTTTACGATCGAAAAGCATGGGAAGCCCTTGACGGGTGAAAGCCACGGTCTCGGTGCGTGTACCGAGCTGGCCATATACAAGAAGAGTAGGCTGAGGCTCCAGTTGTCCAATCTTGCTGAGGTTGGGTCCTCCACTCGAGACAGTGAAGCGAGAGCATGTGCGGCACTCGAGGAGGTAGACTGACGCCTCCAAGCAATTGTCAGTCCAGTGCGGACCAGCCTCGCCTCTTTCGAAGGTTTGCCTGGTGCTGCACACCTCCGGCACGATGCAGAAGCCGAAGATCGTGCCGATCACGTCACGGGCTTGAGAGTGAGGGTCAGGTTTGAGATGGGGTGGAGCGACAATAGGACACACTCGAAGAGGTGCGAAAGCATGGCGACTGGTGGCATGTGCCATGCAGCCACCAATCTTCTTGGTCATCAAAACTATGTTTTGCCTTGAGATGATGGCAAACAGGCAAACTTCAGCTGAAGCACAGTTTGTTTGCCGATGTTCCACATCACTGGCTTGTGCTCAGCTGGTGCTACCCAAGATCCGTTGGATGGGAAGCCCGTTGACTATCATTGCTTTAAGGTACAGTGGCGCAACAGTTGGGCTCGGAAGCTGCAGGAGTCAGCTTGGACAGGGTTTGAATCAGCACAGGATCAGAACTACTGAGCCCCGAACCCTCGCAATATCTCAAACATGAGCTCTGGGCCTGAGTCGGCCCTCGTGAAATGCATTTAATTTCATGCCGTCAAATTTCTTCAGACTTCATCCACTTCATCCTGTAAACACGTCTAGCACCTCCTTTCGTGTGTTGTCTGAGCCGATTTTCCCTGATCCGATCGCCGCATCGTGCTGATCCACTGATACGCCCTCCAACCTGGGTCGGGGCCTGATCTTCCGGGTCTCTGATTGCAGGCGCCGACAACCAGCAGAGATGCCTGAGCATACTGACGGCCGCAGCTGGCTCCTGCAGCACATAGTGCACGCTGAGCAACACGCATCTGAGCATTCGCAGAGAGAGAGAGAGAGAGAGAGAGAGAGAGAGAGATATGCATGCAATGATACCCCATGTTTATGCTGTCTGCTGCAGCCCTAGCAAAGCGTTTCTTTCGGAAGATGTGCAAAGCGTCGCCAGCGACGTGCCATCGCTCCGGGGTCTTGCAGCAGCTGGAAACCTGGAAGCGCCCTGGCGCACGTGAGCGATGCTTTGCAAGACCGTGATGCCGTGATGGTTCTGCCCGTGTCGGACGGAGGCAATACCAACAAACTGTCCAGCTGTTCTTTGTGGAACAGCTGGCACTGGAGCTCTCCTCGCAACTGGATCTGGCAGGCGATGCCTCGTCCAGGCCTCTTGCTTCAGTGGTCTGCTTGCCTGGAGCTTTACTACGTTCTGCTGCAGTAAGGTGCCGCGAAATTTCAGATCGCAATGAGCATCCACAGCCGCCAGTGTGGCCGCATGGTGCCTTGGTGTACACTGCAACGGACAATGGTCAGCACCGTTCTCAGACCTTACGCGCGATCTGACTCCTCCCATGGCTTCACCTGCCGTGGCATTCTTGGCCTGAGGTCACTGATTTGGGGCTCCGCTTCCACCGCGTCAGCTGAGTTGCAAAGAGATTGTTCTGCCTCGTTCGTCGCATCCGCATGCTGAAGCTACCTGGCACAAGCCGTCAGGTGCAGCGAAATTTCAGGTCCCAATGAGCACCCACCGCGGCCAGCTTTGCCGCATGCTGCCTTGGTGGGCGCCGTCACGGAGAATGCCACGGAGAAGGTCACGGAGAATGGTGAGCACCGTTCTCCCATGGCTCCCAGGCAGATGCACGGCCTTGACTCCCAGCAAGCTTCGAAAGCTGCAGTGGCATTCTTGGCCTGAGGTCATTGGTTTGGTCTCCGATAAGGACGCAGACGCTTATCTTAAGTCTGCTGGACAGCGGGAGCTGTTCCGCACTTGCAGCTCCTGTCTAAGCTTCATGGCTTTGGCATGCGCCCATTGTCGCCCGAGGCAGATTCCACAACCGTGCAAAAGCAAGCGCCCAGCGCCTCCCCCTCAGCCACAACGATGCTTCGAGCGAGGCATTGCAATTGGAGACGGGGTTGTTTAACGCAAACTGAGGCGCCGCCGGAGTGTCCGTGGATCCCCCCCAATTGGTCTGGATGCCTGGAAGCCCAGAGACCGGCCGGCTGGAAAATGATGCGACTTTCAGTTTGGCTGCTGCTTGCTCCCAGGACGAGAGTGAGAACGAATCTCCAGAAGTCGGGCAGACACTTGTCTTGAGTCTGCTGGATGTTGCGAGCTGTCCCGTACCTTGCGCACTTGCGCTGCAAGGTGCAACGAAGTTACAGATCTCAATCAGCTTCCGCAGCAGCCAGCATTTCCGCATGCTGCTGTGGTGAGCATTGCCATTCAGAACGGCGAGCACCGTTCTCAGAGCCTCCGATGCAATTATGGGTGCAGCCTAATGGCCTAGGTGGATGCGCAGGGTAGACTCACGGTAACCTTCGCAGTGGCATTCTCGGCCTGAGGTCACTGACATGGGGCTCCGCTTCCACCGCTTCGGGCTCATCGGAGGATGCCTCACAATTGCAGTTGCCGAGTTGCAAAGAGATTATTCTGCCTCGTTCGTCGCATCTGCCTGCTGAAGCTACCTGGCACAAGCCGTCAGGTGCAGCGAAATTTCAATTCGCAACAAGCACGCACCGCGGCCAGCTTTGCCGAATGCTGCCTTGGTGGGCACCGTCACGGAGAATGCCACGGAGAAGGTCACGGAGAATGGTGAGCACTGTTCTCCCATGGCTCCCAGGCAGATGCACGGCCTTGACTCACCGCAGGCTTCGAAAGCTGCAGTGGCATTCTTCGCCTGAGGTCACTGATCCGGTCTCCGATAAGGACGCCGACAAGTGCATGCTTTGGTCTGCAGCCGCAGACACTTGTCTCAAGTCTGCTGGACGGCGGGAGCTGTTCCGCACGTGCAGCTTCTGGGTAAGTTTAAGCCGTGCCTGAAGCCCAGGTCTGCGAACGACGAGCCGCCGACTCTGGCAGCCCCTGCCAAGGATGTCAATCTCGCCGTGAGCCGGCAGCACACCCCGTGTAAACCCGGAATGCCGCCTGCGGAAGGATGAGCGAAAGCGCAAGAGCTGGGGTTCCGCTTCCACCCGGTCGGGCTCATCGCAGGATGAATTGGAAGAGCTGTTGCCGAGTTGCAAAGAGATTATTCTGTGCCGTTTGTCGCATCCGCCGCCGTCAGATACCTGAGACTTGTGGTAAGGCGCGGCGAAAATTCAGATCACAATGGGCAGATTCTGGACCCCTTCGACCCCTCACGAAACCTGCTGCAACTTGCCCTCGACAAAAACATTGAGGAAGAGCACATGCAACGGCTGCAACGGACTCCTCGAGCGAGCAAGCCTTGAGGCCCGATCTCTTGCCGTACCTTTCTGCGCCCTGTCTGCAAGAGAAGCGCCTTGCGACGATCTGCCGCGACATGGCCTGGAAGCATGCTCAAGCTGGAGAAGCCGAGAGATGCAGGCCCTGCACCTGCCTGAAGGTGGATGACATTTTGGAATGGCGAGTGGCTTCCTGCCAGACCAGAAGTCCAAGAGCAGCGAGCTTTGTGCACTGCTTCGTTTGTCCAGCACCGTGTGTAATCTATTGCATAGACGAGTGCAGTCTTGTGCAACCTCAGGCCTTAATACAGCACGTGTCCGAAATGGGCAGGTTGGACAGGCGCGATGTTGTGGGAATTTCCGCACCAGTAGTCGTGCGCTATGAGTTTCAACGCACAGGTGGGAGTCAATGCTCGAATTTTCTTTACGAATCCAGTCCGGTGAAGAAGATCCCGCTGCCTTCTATGAGGAAATGGCAAAGGATGTCAGGCAACAGAAGTTCTTCGAGTGTCTCTTGGCCGTTTTACAAAGCATGATGCACGGAGAACAAGTCCACAAACCAAACGCATTTTTCTTCCCAGGCCGCTGGTGGTGTATCAGACTGGCAAGGGCAAAGGAAACCCATTTCTCAGAGAGTGATGCCTACGATATCGTCAGCGCAAACCTTCGAGATCTGTTTGCGCACTGCGGCGACGCGGATATACCTGTGAGAATTTCCGCGCATCATCTTGTTTCAAAACATGGGTCGGGTGGCCTCCCATTCGTGCAGCGACTGATTGCGGAAGCAATGCTTGGCCACATGGAAGACGTGCTGCCAGAGTCCCAGGAAATCAGTGAAGACGCCTGGAAGCAGGCAATGGACTGCACAGGCCATCTTGCCTACCTTCTGCGCACTCTGACAAAGCCTCAGCGTCAGAAGTGGGTGTCCCAGCTGGTCAAAGCCCTCAGGAGCCCGGAGTCGTTGCAGGGCCGATTACAGGAAGACGTGTTTTCTGGCCTGAAGCTTCTGTGGCGAGCTGATGACGATCCCGAACGAAGCTATGCAGAAGCCGATCATCAACTGAAGGCTTTGTTAAAGCGCAGCAGCGGACGTTTGCAGCAACAAATTTACAAGCTCCTCGCGTGCTGAAGTCTGTCTCACACGGTCTCTCCTGTAGGAGAAACGCAGGCAGCCAAATGCTCAACGAAGATTTCGGCCAAAAGAAGTGGTCGTACACTTCTATTCCCTCGCAGATTTGTCTGCGTTTTTTTGTTATCTTTTTCCCCACATCTCTTTAGGGCTGTCCCGTCTCCTCCTCCTCCTCCTTCTCCTCCTCTCCGCCTCCGCCCTCCTCCGCCCTCCTCCTCATCATGCTCGTCATCATCATCACTCGCTCACTCATCATCACACGCCACTCACACCACTCACACCACTCACGCGCACTCACCACTCGCACCACACACCACTCACAGCACCCGCACGAAGACTATAAAGTAAACGCGACTAAGCGCCCTCTCTCGAGGGCTCTGTTGGATGCCGCGCGCATCCGCGCGCGCTTCGTGGCGCTCACCCTCCGGAAGACTGTAAACGTGCACCCTCCGGAAGACTGTATGAGGCATGCCGGGACTATTCCGCGCTGCGGAAAACAGCATCTTGGCAACTTAGGCCATCGGTTAAAGAATAGGTTTTGCTTGGGGGGTCACTATCGGATCAGTTCTCCGCGTTGGGGGGGCGTGTTGGAAACAGGTCTGGGAAGGGGCGTTCCGATGCGTCGTTTTAAAAGTGTTCATTCTATGTATGTATGTATATGTATGTTTATGTGTGTATATGTATGAATATGTATGTATGTATGTATGTGTATGTATATGTATGTATATGTATGTATATGTATGTATATGTATGTATATGTATGTATATGTATGTATATGTATGTATATGTATGTATATGTATGTATGTAAGTTGTATTCACTCCGTTTAACCATACATATGGATCTTCTGGGCTCTGAGACTGAGAGGGGTCCGGTCTTTATTCTGTTGGGATCGGTTTCGTTTCACGCCTTAGTTTGACGGCGCTAGGTTTCGGACGATAGGTTTCGGTTCACTCCTGGCACAACTCAGTAATTCGACATCGCGGGTCGGGCTATTGGAAAGGTGTTGGGGGACGTTGGTAGCGAATTCAAAGGCAGGAGCCAAGGCTGGGGGGCCTAGGAGGGTTTGAGTGGTCTATGTTGCCGGAACCCGAAGCATGGTTTACAAGGGGGTTTAAGCTTGTGAGGCAGGTTTGGGGAGCAATACAGCAGTATATGCGTATATGCACCTGTAAAACAGCATGGTCAGTTCTTATGGTAGACATTTCCAGTTCTGCACTGGCAATGTTAAGCAGCAAAAGCCATGGATATTCAGGAATCCGCAAGCCCCCAATCCGACTCAGGACATGTTCAAAGCCAATCAGTACGGCAGTCATGGCAGCTTCGATATGCTCCTTGACGAGTGGGCTGCCGTTCGGGGTGACGGGGGCTTCGGAGGTTTACTGGTGCAGCTCCTGGCCCAAATCAGTCCAATTGTCGGGGAGATGGCCCATTGACATCAAGCTCACCCCGAAATGGTAGAGCCAGGCCCACCTTCAACTACTTCTGGCGCTGTCAACAACTCGAAGAGAAATTCGATGCTTTGTTTTCGCTGCCTGTGTGGAGGTTGGCTAAATTCCAGGTTTCTCGTTTGGTGTTGCCTGCAACATCTTGCAACGTCAAAGCATCATTCGGCCGTTTTGCTGACCTTTGTGGGGCCGGGTTGAGGTTCTCGGTCATCAGATCCTGTAATTTCTCATTTATGGTGCTCTCAGCTTTGTCTTTAGTGACAGCCTGTAGGCTCGACCTTGTTGAGCCACAGTCTGGTACAGATCCAGCTGCCCATGATTGTGTACACACACCAAGCAGATGTTTGGTCCCCATTTATGTGCTCCCAAGCTTGTTATTATCGTGGCCGCGACAGCACTCCGAAGTCTCAGGTCGCGAATCCAGATGACGATGATTGGGTGAAAAATCCGGACCCCCGGCAATCCTAGCAGGGCTGGTTCCTAATGCTTTGTATAATAGATCTCGAAGCTTGAGTGAACCACCGCTTTGGGCCCAGCCAGCCGTGATCTGAGCCCGACAATGCATGCAGCTCTTTGTTTCAAGACTTTTGATCAAGAGTCCAGCCACCCTCTGCGGAAAGGATCGCACCTCTACCTTGTAGAGGTTGCATCTCGGAGCCGCAATGCATTCATGTCACCGAGGACATTCGAAGCTACTGGACAGCCCCTGATGCCAAGCAGGGCAGCTCCGTTAGACAGGTTCGCATCCGAGTACCCGGCGGAGCGTGATAAGTTTTAGCTTTGGTAGGTCACACTTCATGCTGGATGTCGGCTGTAAACCTCTGCTACGTTTCGGACGTGTCCCAATGTTAGCAGAAGTAGCTATAGCATTCATCAGTGTTCTTAGTCCTGTTGCGCATGCAAGTATTTCAGGAGCGCGCTGATGTCAATGATGTGGAGACTCGCATCGACCCGCAGGCAGTAGGATTTGTGGCCAGAAAGGGTGACAGTGATGTCAATCATGGTGGAGGATCAGTCAGGATCAGGGCTTAGGGCCAGGACAGGGTCAAGACCGGGATCTAGAGAAATGCGCCGGTGGTAATGATGTTGAGAAGTATTGATGGCAGGGGACGAAGCAGACGAGGATTATGATGAGCTTGCGAGGATGACGACGTATGTGAGGTTGATGATCGTGGTGACGAGGAGGAGAACGAGGAGGGTTTTAATGTTCTTGGACTCAACATTGAAGCCCTCAACAGTTTTCAGAGCTTCCCCAATTCTGTGCGTTGAGTGCTGGTTGCCCTTCATGCTCTATTCCTCAACTGCCGCTGTCTGATGCTCTTGCTTTGCTTGGATTAGCCGAAAGCAGCTTTGAGCCTTTCAAGCCTGATGTCACTGATGTCTTTTTTACAACAGAAAAATGCGCGAGAGCGGCTGGGCAGGATGGTGCGGCATACGACTATGAATCACTCGCAGAGTACTACAAGGGTGCCTTGCCGTAGAATTGACCAGAGCTCCGAGGGCGCCGGAAGTTTCGCTGGGCATCAAAAGGGAACATGGAGAGAGAGAGAGAGAGAGAGAGAGAGAGAGAGAGAGAGAGAGTGAGAGAGTTTGTTTCGGGGTTCGCCGGGTTTGCTTCGGATTTCAGCTAAGCTGCTGAGCTGCTGTAAACGCCCACGGGAGGGGGCGAGGCCCACAGCTGCGAATTCAGGAGAGCTCAGGAAAACGCCCCTAAACCTATCAGCGCGTTGGGAGCAAGGGGGACAGCATGTGGTGCTCGAGCTCAGCGACAAATCGACGCACAACCAACGAGTTTCAACTGCATGCAAACTCTTATCTTTCACACCTGTGCAAGCTCGACTAAATCCACTTGCATCCCTCAGTACATACACAAGTAGCATACTTAGGGGTCCGACCGCAGGTCCCTACTATTCAGTGTCTGTGTTGGGGTGTAGTATCTTCACTTCAGCCCCCTCCTAGACGGAAAGCGCGGTTTCTGCCAGGTAAGTACAAGAAGGCCGCAATTACAGCGTACTGGAATGACTGCAAGCCAGTTTCTCGGCGGCATTTGGCGGCTCGCGATCTTGAAACTTCTCTGCAATTCCGGGGGCCATTTGTGAATCATCAACCGACCTGTGTCAACCAACACTCTAGAAGGTTTGGGGTTTCGGGGCTGAGTTGGGTCTTTGATGTTGAGACGGCTGTTGCTGGCCTTCGGCCCAAACCTCAAAGAAGAAGATTTGCCGCTGCCGCCAAGGCAAAGAAGAACGGAAAGGCCGGGTCCTTTCCGTGACTTTTAGCAGAAGTAGCTATAGCATTCATCAGTGTTCTTGGTCCTGTTGCGCATGCAAGTATTTCAGGAGCGCGCTGATGTCAATGATGTGGAGACTCGCATCGACCCGCAGGCAGTAGGATTTGTGGCCAGAAAGGGTGACAGTGATGTCAATCATGGTGGAGGATCAGTCAGGATCAGGGCTTAGGGCCAGGACAGGGTCAAGACCGGGATCTAGAGAAATGCGCCGGTGGTAATGATGTTGAGAAGTATTGATGGCAGGGGACGAAGCAGACGAGGATTATGATGAGCTTGCGAGGATGACGACGTATGTGAGGTTGATGATCGTGGTGACGAGGAGGAGAACGAGGAGGGTTTTAATGTTCTTGGACTCAACATTGAAGCCCTCAACAGTTTTCAGAGCTTCCCCAATTCTGTGCGTTGAGTGCTGGTTGCCCTTCATGCTCTATTCCTCAACTGCCGCTGTCTGATGCTCTTGCTTTGCTTGGATTAGCCGAAAGCAGCTTTGAGCCTTTCAAGCCTGATGTCACTGATGTCTTTTTTACAACAGAAAAATGCGCGAGAGCGGCTGGGCAGGATGGTGCGGCATACGACTATGAATCACTCGCAGAGTACTACAAGGGTGCCTTGCCGTAGAATTGACCAGAGCTCCGAGGGCGCCGGAAGTTTCGCTGGGCATCAAAAGGGAACATGGAGAGAGAGAGAGAGAGAGAGAGAGAGAGAGTGAGAGAGTTTGTTTCGGGGTTCGCCGGGTTTGCTTCGGATTTCAGCTAAGCTGCTGAGCTGCTGTAAACGCCCACGGGAGGGGGCGAGGCCCACAGCTGCGAATTCAGGAGAGCTCAGGAAAACGCCCCTAAACCTATCAGCGCTTTGCTAATTTGGGACGTTGGGAGCAAGGGGGACAGGATGTGGTGCTCGAGCTCAGCGACAAATCGACGCACAACCAACGAGTTTCAACTGCATGCAAACTCTTATCTTTCACACCTGTGCAAGCTCGACTAAATCCACTTGCATCCCTCAGTACATACACAAGTAGCATACTTAGGGGTCCGACCGCAGGTCCCTACTATTCAGTGTCTGTGTTGGGGTGTAGTATCTTCACTTCAGCCCCCTCCTAGACGGAAAGCGCGGTTTCTGCCAGGTAAGTACAAGAAGGCCGCAATTACAGCGTACTGGAATGACTGCAAGCCAGTTTCTCGGCGGCATTTGGCGGCTCGCGATCTTGAAACTTCTCTGCAATTCCGGGGGCCATTTGTGAATCATCAACCGACCTGTGTCAACCAACACTCTAGAAGGTTTGGGGTTTCGGGGCTGAGTTGGGTCTTTGATGTTGAGACGGCTGTTGCTGGCCTTCGGCCCAAACCTCAAAGAAGAAGATTTGCCGCTGCCGCCAAGGCAAAGAAGAACGGAAAGGCCGGGTCCTTTCCGTGACTTTTAGCAGAAGTAGCTATAGCATTCATCAGTGTTCTTGGTCCTGTTGCGCATGCAAGTATTTCAGGAGCGCGCTGATGTCAATGATGTGGAGACTCGCATCGACCCGCAGGCAGTAGGATTTGTGGCCAGAAAGGGCGACAGTGATGTCAATCATGGTGGAGGATCAGTCAGGATCAGGGCTGAGGGCCAGGACAGGGTCAAGACCGGGATCTAGAGAAATGCGCCGGTGGTAATGATGTTGAGAAGTATTGATGGCAGGGGACGAAGCAGACGAGGATTATGATGAGCTTGCGAGGATGACGACGTATGTGAGGTTGATGATCGTGGTGACGAGGAGGAGAACGAGGAGGGTTTTAATGTTCTTGGACTCAACATTGAAGCCCTCAACAGTTTTCAGAGCTTCCCCAATTCTGTGCGTTGAGTGCTGGTTGCCCTTCATGCTCTATTCCTCAACTGCCGCTGTCTGATGCTCTTGCTTTGCTTGGATTAGCCGAAAGCAGCTTTGAGCCTTTCAAGCCTGATGTCACTGATGTCTTTTTTACAACAGAAAAATGCGCGAGAGCGGCTGGGCAGGATGGTGCGGCATACGACTATGAATCACTCGCAGAGTACTACAAGGGTGCCTTGCCGTAGAATTGACCAGAGCTCCGAGGGCGCCGGAAGTTTCGCTGGGCATCAAAAGGGAACATGGAGAGAGAGAGAGAGAGAGAGAGAGAGAGAGTGAGAGAGTTTGTTTCGGGGTTCGCCGGGTTTGCTTCGGATTTCAGCTAAGCTGCTGAGCTGCTGTAAACGCCCACGGGAGGGGGCGAGGCCCACAGCTGCGAATTCAGGAGAGCTCAGGAAAACGCCCCTAAACCTATCAGCGCTTTGCTAATTTGGTGGACGTTGGGAGCAAGGGGGACAGGATGTGGTGCTCGAGCTCAGCGACAAATCGACGCACAACCAACGAGTTTCAACTGCATGCAAACTCTTATCTTTCACACCTGTGCAAGCTCGACTAAATCCACTTGCATCCCTCAGTACATACACAAGTAGCATACTTAGGGGTCCGACCGCAGGTCCCTACTATTCAGTGTCTGTGTTGGGGTGTAGTATCTTCACTTCAGCCCCCTCCTAGACGGAAAGCGCGGTTTCTGCCAGGTAAGTACAAGAAGGCCGCAATTACAGCGTACTGGAATGACTGCAAGCCAGTTTCTCGGCGGCATTTGGCGGCTCGCGATCTTGAAACTTCTCTGCAATTCCGGGGGCCATTTGTGAATCATCAGCCGACCTGTGTCAACCAACACTCTAGAAGGTTTGGGGTTTCGGGGCTGAGTTGGGTCTTTGATGTTGAGACGGCTGTTGTTGGCCTTCGGCCCAAACCTCAAAGAAGAAGATTTGCCGCTGCCGCCAAGGCAAAGAAGAACGGAAAGGCCGGGTCCTTTCCGGATTAGCCGAAAGCAGCTTTGAGCCTTTCAAGCCTGATGTCACTGATGTCTTTTTTACAACAGAAAAATGCGCGAGAGCGGCTGGGCAGGATGGTGCGGCATACGACTATGAATCACTCGCAGAGTACTACAAGGGTGCCTTGCCGTAGAATTGACCAGAGCTCCGAGGGCGCCGGAAGTTTCGCTGGGCATCAAAAGGGAACATGGAGAGAGAGAGAGAGAGAGAGAGAGAGAGAGTGAGAGAGTTTGTTTCGGGGTTCGCCGGGTTTGCTTCGGATTTCAGCTAAGCTGCTGAGCTGCTGTAAACGCCCACGGGAGGGGGCGAGGCCCACAGCTGCGAATTCAGGAGAGCTCAGGAAAACGCCCCTAAACCTATCAGCGCTTGGCTAATTTGCTGGACGTTGGGAGCAAGGGGGACAGGATGTGGTGCTCGAGCTCAGCGACAAATCGACGCACAACCAACGAGTTTCAACTGCATGCAAACTCTTATCTTTCACACCTGTGCAAGCTCGACTAAATCCACTTGCATCCCTCAGTACATACACAAGTAGCATACTTAGGGGTCCGACCGCAGGTCCCTACTATTCAGTGTCTGTGTTGGGGTGTAGTATCTTCACTTCAGCCCCCTCCTAGACGGAAAGCGCGGTTTCTGCCAGGTAAGTACAAGAAGGCCGCAATTACAGCGTACTGGAATGACTGCAAGCCAGTTTGTCGGCGGCATTTGGCGGCTCGCGATCTTGAAACTTCTCTGCAATTCCAAGGGCCATCTGTGAATCATCAACCGACCTGTGTCAACCAACACTCTAGAAGGTTTGGGGTTTCGGGGCTGAGTTGGGTCTTTGATGTTGAGACGGCTGTTGTTGGCCGTCGGCCCAAGCCTCAAAGATGAAGATTTTGCCGCTTTTCCCATTTTTTCCAACCTAACGTTTCAGACGCGTACGGGGCGATGAAATTGTCCCCAAGCGAAGCCGTTTCGATGGCCAGGTGATGATCGATGCCACGACGTCCATACCGCGAGACCTCTTCCACAGATTGGTCAAGCAGGGACAGCCCGATTGCTCTACCTAGCTCATCATGTGCGTGTCCTGTCATCGGTGACCTAATTGTCTGCTGCCTTAAAACTTAAAATTAGATAAATTATATTTCCAAGCTCCAAGAACGTGAGTTTAAGGGATCCTGAGGGTTTACTTTGACATTACCAAAAAATGAATCTTAGGCTTCGGGTAACGGAGACGTCCACATGCTTGAGGCTGTTCCCGCAAGCTTGGTCAAATTCCTGGGTTTAAGGTATAGGTTTTAGGTTTAGAGGGTTCTTGTAGTGTGACATCTTGGCGCAAACGCTGCGCAAACTTAGCAGTTCGAGCCTTACAGGCTCTGACCCGGAAACGGCGTTTAGTAAACCCAAAGGCCTTAGGACCCGTGTCCTTGAAGAGTTGGGCACATGGGTTCGGCTGTGCAGGAATGAAAGCAAGAAGAAGAGGCCAGCACCGCCGTGCCTTTGTCTGTGCAATATGATTACGTGCTTAGGTACAAAGTATGTGCTCGCAGCCCCTTTCGGGTTTGGAGAATTGAATCCCCAAAGCTTAACCCATTCGTTCCACTAGAAGACAAAGAGACGCAGAATTAACAAAGGGGTGCGAGATAGTCTTATGAGTCAGTTTCCGAGCCTCCAACAAGTAAATTGCGATTGCTCTTGGGTTATGTACCTACCCAACCCAACCTTTTGGTGTCGAGGGTTAATGATTTGTCGATGCATGTATCATCCATGTTGGTCGTCAACACCCGCAACTCTAGCCTGCCCGTGGCTTGAAGGACCCCAGATGGTGTAAGCAGTTCTTACCGAAGGCATCCGCAAATTCAAGCCTTCCCGCGTCCATATCCATGCAGCTTTGTCTTCGAGCTATCTTGGTGGTACTTGTAGCCTTTACATCCCAAACCCTTCAAAGCCAGTGTATATTGTTCTTAATGGCCCCTTACTGCCGGTCCTCCTCAAACGATCCTGTGTAGTAGTCTGCTTGACGTCCCATCCTGAACTAGGAACTAGGACAGACCACACAGTCACAGAATGTTGGCCTTCCATGCATTCCCGCTTAGCAGGTTATATGTGTGCAGGGGTTCTCTGTGTGGTGCCCCAATTCCTGCCATCACGTTTCATCTATGCCGACCAAAGACCACTTGCCTCGCCTGGATTGTCCGAGTGTGAGCGCCGAAGGCCGTACTTTCAGCATAATCAGCACTCGGCATCACCCGAAAGGGTGCTTACCTTATCCCAAAAACCCAATCCCTAAACCCTGAAATCCCGTAAACCGTAATAAACCTCACGCCCCCAAAACAATAAAGATCCTCGTCAGAGAGCGAGCGCCGAACCCCAGAAATCCTGAGCCCAAAGCCCCACGCCCAATGCTAAGGAGGTGAACGCGGCCTTGTTTTGGCGATGGAGTAGTCGGAAGGTCAGTCTTTGTCTATCCCGGGGCCGATCTCAGGTGGCAATTCAGCCTGGGCTCAAGTGCCACGTGGTGTGTCCGACGAATTGTGCTTCCAAAGTTTGAAGCACGTGTTCCAAAATACGCTTGAAGACTAAACGTGCTTCGGCTTCCTAGTCGCCGAAGTCGCAAAATCTTGAGGTTCACCATTGGATCCTGAGAAGGGATACCTACGGGCTCCATCGTTTTCGGACGGAGCCGAGATGCCACCCTTTCTTCCGAGCTGCAGAACGGCCGTACGGGAGCACGTGCGAAGTGGCATCTCGCAGCTCGCAGTCCATCTTGGTGTCCGATTTCGCGAACTGGAAACAGTGCTTGGGGAGCGAAGCTTCAGGACGTGCAACACCCTGCACCCAAACTCCTAAACCCTGTCCCGAAGCCCTTTCAGGATTTGTTTGGGTCTAGGTGTTAGGGCTCCGCCTAAATAATCCTAATGGTAGTATCTAATCATCTAATCCCTTGAGACCCTAGGCTACTTCTCTTACTTGGGGTCCGTTTTCGGGTCCTTGTGGAACGGGTGCCGTACTATTTTGGGGACCTAAAGAAGGCACCCTCAATTAGAGAACTACACCCTATTAACTTAAACTGCCCGAAACCCTGAACCCTCATTTCACGGACCCTGTGATGCCCTAATCTTCAATTTAATAACTGCTTTTCCGTTTTGAAACCCTTGAGGCCGAAATCCCTACGCCGTGAACCTAGTAGCATTCCGGGCCGCAACCGTCGAAATCCTGCCAGCCTTCGTTTAAACGCCGGACAATACATCCCGAAAGCACCGTTGTCGCAACCCTTATGGATCCCTTGTCGGAAACCTAGACCTAGACCCTGAAATCCTAGCCCTCCTGCTGAACAGCTGCCACCTCCTTGGAGCTTCTTGCAGTCATCTAGTGCTACGGCAACGGCTTCTGTGTATGGTTGAGGTCGTTAGGCCTTGTTTATTGTTGCCACTTGTGAGCTAGAGCCTTCCTTCCTTGCACCCTGAACCCGTATGTGCTGAAGCCACAAAAGAGCCCAAAGGCACAGCAACATCAGACTATCCATCCGTTCTCGAGGTTGGCTTCGCCTCTCTGGTGCCGATCTGCCGGTCGCGTTGGTGAGCTACTTCTCGCCTGCCCTTGACACCTGTTGTTTTCGCACTTGTCACCCGCAGCTCGGGACCTTTTCAGTTTGAGCAGGGCGCTCTGAAGTCGAATCCCTTGATGCTTAGATATAGCAGGATGGAAATCGAAGGGGTCGCGAAGAAAATCGGGCGTTTTGCAGCAGTGACCTTGCCGCCCCAGTTGAGTTTGTGGCTGTTGGACTTCATTGTAGTCAGCCAAACTGTTCGGATGATGCGCATGTTGCAGCTTTTGCTTCGCTCGCCATGCAACAGCCACTAGAGCAGAACTTAGCGGCTATAGACATGCGAAGATCAGAAACGGCCGGCATGCTGTTCAAGAGTCAGAAAGCACAGGGTCTTCCGAGGAGGCTCCGACGTCCGCTTCGGCAGGGCCGCGCTTCACCATGGAGGCTCAAGACATGGGCGGCGCCGTCCAGGCGCATGCTCCACCCTCGGATCTGGGGGCTGGCACCGAGGCATTGCTGAAGATAAGCATGGTTTCGGCTGAGCCCCGAGGATATCGGCCCAGTGATGCCGGCACAGTCGTGTCCGAGCCTCATCCGCGCCCGTGGCAGTCCTCCGGTCGACGTGAAGCATGCTTTTGCTTTTTGGATGTTTTTCCTGCAGGTTACGACCCGAAGGCGCACAAGATGGCCACCGACTACGTAGGCGCTCCAGCTGTTCTTGAATCTTCAAGTCTCGACGGTTGCTAGACCATCTGTGGATGCGCCCACACACTCACACACACACACACAGACACAGCTTCTCGCCCTGCAGATGGGGAATGGAAGACCTTTTGGGACTTTCTGCCAGACAAGGTCTGCGGACGTTTATCATGTGTGTGGGTGAACTGGTAGCATGAACCTCCCCCACCAAGATGCTCTGGAAGTGAAAGGTCGGCTTCGAGTGTTTCAGCTGCATGCTGCAGAGTCGTCGAGCATGTCTTAAGGTCTTAGGGTGTCGTTGCGGCTGGTCAGGACGAGCCGTTCCTTTTCTCCACAGATGGCAGACGTCCATTGAGTTTCAATGAGCTCAAGGCATGATGAATGCACGTGAGGTGAACGAACCAACTTAAATCAACAGTGGCAGGCGTTCATCGTTGATGAAAGAAACGACATCCCAGGGATGGGTCGAGAGGAGTGTTGAGATTGCAGAGAGTATCCAACCGGTGTGAACGGAACTTCTCCTGGCAGGACCGCCTTTGTCTAGTTTTCCCGACGGGACCAGAGCTTGCAGTGGCCTACTTGGCAGAGTCCTCAGCATGTTCTCTCTGATGCGCAAAGTCGTAGCCGACACCGTCGGAGGCCTTCGCAGTTCGCTGCACCGTCGCGCCGTTGAACCTGTATCTGCGGGCTGGGGACTGAAGCGAGACAGCGCTGCCCAGGGCAGGGCTTTTGCAAGAATGCTCAGGCGGATGAGTTTGATTTCGAGTACGACGACTTGCCCTGTAAGGCAAAGGGCCGAAGCTCCGGGAAGATCCTGACCTCGAAATTCTTCTTTTCGTCCAGGGCCTGGTGGTCCAGAAAGCAGATGGCCTGGATGCCGAAGACAAAGCCGCCCTGCGCCAAGAAGCCCCCAGCCGCGCAGTCCTTGCAAGGACGATCCCAGTCTCGTGCTGAGGCAACTACCGTAGCAGTGGCGCAGGCGGCTTCAGCACTGGCTCTCAACATGTCGGCCGTTTGCCAGATGTCGTTCTGAAGTGCCCTAAGACGGCGCATGAGCCGTCGTGCAGCTTGAGACTGTTGAAACGCAGGCCAGAAAAAAGAAAATTCAAATAATTCTTCAACTGATCCCATCGCCAGATACCCGGCACAACCGACGCGATAGGGCTTCTTGAGCATGTAGAGTCGTAGAGTCCAAAGAACTTTCGCTGAAGGGAGCACATTGCCTAGAAGCGCTCAGGCCAGAGGTGGCAGGGCTCTTTACGATCGAAAAGCATGCAGCAGGGAAGCCCTTGACGGGTGAAAAGCCACGGTCCTGGTGAGTGTACGGAGGTGGCCAAAAGAAGAGTAGATTAGGTTCCAGTTGTCCCATCTTTCTGAGGTTAGGTCCTCCACTCGAGACAGTGAAGCGAGAGCATGCGTGGCACTCGAAGAGACTGACGCCTCCAAGCAAACAGGCAGTGCAGCCTCACCTCATTCGAAGGTTTGCCTGGTGCTGCACACCTCCGGCACGACGAAGAAGCCGAAGATCGTGCCAATCACGTCACGGGCTTGAGAGTGAGGGTTAGGCTTGAGCTGGTGTGGAGCGAAAGTCGGAAACACTCGAAGAGGCACGAAAGCATGGCAACTGGTGGCCTGTGCCATGCAGCCGCCAATCTACTTGGCCCTGATGATGTCTTCATCAACACTATGTGTTGCCCTGAGATGAAGGCAAACAAGCTCTGCAGGTGAACTTCCAGCGAAAGCACAGTTCATTTGCCGAGGCCAATGTTCCACATCGCTGGCTTGATGGAGAATCTTCTCATGTCTGCGCGTTTCGGCTGTTCAGCTGGTGCTACCCAAGATCCGTTGGATAAGAAGCCCCTGAGCTGTCATTGCTCTAAGGTACAGTGGCGCAAAGTTTATTGCACTGCCTGGGCAGTATCAGGCAGAAACCTTGGATCGTTTCGGTTGAATGCCGGAGTTGTGTTCAGGATTGTTCAGTCTGACAGGCCCACAGCTTTTTCGCGGCAATGTCCAAAGAGCCCTTGTCAGAAGCTCAGCCCGCTTGCAAGCAGGTGCAGACACAGGGTAGTGTAACCAAACTCTCAAGAAAAGATGTGTATGCAAGCGCGCAGGCATGCGGACGTGCATTCAAGAGGACAAACTAGCTTTGTGTGCAGCCTTTCAAGAGGCAAGGTTCAGCATCATGTAAAGGGTGGGAATCTGCCATCGAATGCGGTGCATGTGACAACTTTGTGGTTACTGGTGCGCTGCCCTGGCGGCTTCTGTGGCCGTGCAGTGGCCCAGTGGCGGGTGAGTCCCGAGGCCCACCTCCTACTCGGCGGTGCCTGCCCACCACATGTCTTTGATGACGCTGGCCAAGGCGAAACGGCTAAGCCGCCAGAGTGTCCGTAAGGTGAAGGGGCGAGCGGCCAGTCATAAGAAGGGGCCCTGGGCAGGAAGCAAAGAACTTCGAGTCACAGCCTTAGTTTCCGATCCTTGGTGCCTCGGAGCCGTCTCTGTGTCCGGACGAGGAGCCCGCTGCGCGTCATCCGCAATGACTCGGCCGCGCTTCTGTCGGCAGCCTGTTGCAACGCTTCCCGGATACTTCGGCTGGTCCGTTTTCGCCCCGGCCGCGTCCTAGGCCTAGCCTTGCCGAGCAGATGGAAGAGTTTTTCAAGGACCCGAGTCATGACTCGACACGGTTTGGAAGCGGGCTCGCTTTGGGGCAGAGACGCCGCTGTGAGATATTGTGTCGAGTGCCATTTCGATTCTTGTCCGGGGTCTGGTTTGGACGTGGCAGTTGCTCACTCTTGTGGGGCCTTCGGTCGCCATGTATGCGTTTCGAGCCTGGCTACAAAGATCTTGCAAGTCGTTTGTTTTTCTCAGGCGACGGTTTTACCGGCCTATTCCATGACCGAGGTCATGCATGGGCCGGGGGGGGCGCTTGTGCTAGAGCAGACTCGTTTCGGAGCTTGTGGGAAAGGGTGGGCGACGTCGGCATGGTGCTTGACATGTGAAGCGAGTTCTCACAGTTCAGCATCGCCTGGAAGGCTAACCCTCTCTGCTCCAATCCGCGGTGCTCTCCTCAGCTGTGCCCTAGGAGATTAGTTAAGGTTGGAGTTGCCTCGTGAAGCCAAAGGAGATTGATCCATGCTGGATCTATCTTTCTCTTGCCAGGTTCGGTATCAGGAAGCTGAAGTCCGTCGGACCGGCT